GGCATAATTACAGTTGGCAGCCCCCAGCTTTTATATTAATTAGCATACAAAACAATGGTGCAGCCTCAACCGGTTTGGCTCAGTGGATAGAGCATATCAGCCTGCAGACTGAAGCGTCCCAGGTTTGATTCTGTTCCAGGGCACATGGCCGGGTTCAGGGCTCAATCCTCAGTAGGGGGCATGCAGGAGGCAGCCGATCAATGATTCTCTCTCATCATTGGTGTTTCTAGCTCTCTCTCCCTCTTTCTTCCTCTCTGAAATCAATAAAAAACTATATCTGTAAAATAATGGTGCATGCTACAAGGATGGTTTCTTAAATTAGATGAAATAAGATCTACTTTTAGCTCTGTGGTTCTCAGCCTTTACATTACCAGTGGGAGGGAAGCAGCAGCAAGTCAGGTGGACACAGGGTTTTGGTACCAGCTCTTAAGAACCCTCTCAATTCCCAGCTCCCCCCTCTGTCATACTCTCGGTCAACTTGGACACTTGGTTTGTCTTCTTGGCCCTGCCTACCAGCATGTGTCTGATTGCTGATTCCTGCCCACCCCACACATCAAGTATTTGCCAGAGATTATGCTTCCACTACACCAAGCATGTCAAACTCAAAGGTTAACACAGGCCAAATAAATGAGGCATGTGGCCCTCGGGTTGCGAGTTTGACCTGCTTGCACTACACTGTCTTTTCAGAGCATGTGCATATGTGTGTTTGAAGGAGGTTCGAAGAGTTGGTTTTATTTTTTTACCCATAAAATCAACACAGAGATTATTCTAGAGAGAAAGCCCAGGAAGAAAACCAACTTTTTAGCCTGATGACAATAAGGGCTGAGCTTTCTTGGTGATTGACTCCAAGAGCAATGCATCTATCTCACTTGCTGATTGAAACTAATAAAAATAATAATAGGTTTGGGCTACCCTCCAACCCCAAAAAGAGCAGTGAACAGAAGTGGGATACGTGTGGACTAACGGAGCTGTTGTCTTTGGCTTCTTAGCAAGTTCCCCCCATCCGGTCCCAATTAATGATAACAGTCCTAGCCTTGGCCCGGACAGGAGTGGCCTGGTGCAGCCTGGTGTGCCCAAGTCCTTCCAGGGTGCTACATAATGATTTTGGGAGAAAGATGTTCTCTTTTCCTTGGGGTGGTTCATTTGAGACTGCCCATGGCCAGCTTTCCCACCATGTGGAGAATCTGCAGAACAGAGAGCCCCAGCAGGTACCAACATAGACAGAGGGCAGGGAGAGCAGCCCAGGTCCTTCCATCCTGTGAGGTACCACTGTTATCATTCCCGGCACATGAGCCAGCACATTCCTGACCTGCTTAAACAAGTTTAAGCTGGGTGTCTGTTCTTTGAAATCAATACAATACAAGGCATTTAAAACCTCTACTTTAAGCTCTCTTCAGCTTACCTGCTCTTTTGAAAGTTATTTGCAGCAAGCAATTCAAGTTTCGGATTTAGGAGGGTGAAATCCCCATATTCTGTGCTGCTGCCTAAAAGCAGATCCATGGATCTTAGATACTGACTTTGGTCGAGAAGTTGTGATGATAAAGGGCTTGGTGTGAATTCTCACTAGAGGGAGGGGACCCACCTTGAGCTGGATCAGGGGTACCCACTGGCCACTTTGGATTTACCCTATCTCTTCATCAGGTACCAGATGGGCCCTGCAATAGAGCTTGGGAGAACCTGGGGCCTGCAGATTCCAAAGAAGGTGCTACCACAGCCAGTTATTTTCGTTTTAGTTTGTCATAACTGATAAGGGCTTATCTTTCTGATGGCATTTTCTTAAAGGGCTCCTCTGCTTTTTTTTAAAGCATGTCCTAGTACAAGAGCTAAGCTCAAGGTGCCACCGTAGCATGGAGGACATGCCTGAATTATGTGCTGTGGCAGGAAGACATGCACTCAGTTTATCTAAAAACTATAAGACATTATTCAGGAATTACACAAGAGGTCTTAGGGACAGCCTTGCTTTATACTTTTTAAGAACGGAATTTGCTTGGTTGCAGTGGTTCTCAATCTTCCTAATGCCGTGACCCTTTAATACAGTTCCCCATGTTGTGGTGACCCCCAACCACAAAATTATTTTCGTTGCTATTTCCTAACTGTAATTTTGCTACTGTTATGAATCGCAATGTAAATATCTGATATGCAGGATGTATTTAGGCGACCCCTGTGAAAGGGTCATTCGACCTCCAAAGGGGTCGCGACCCACAGGTTGAGAACCGCTGGTAAAGGAACCCTCCATCCACTCTGATTCTGGAGGAGACACTGTGATAAAGGCTTTCAGGAATGTTGATAGCGCAGAATTGGCATTAGCCCACAGACAATTCCCGTCCACCAAATGAAAGTCTAATGAGAGACTGACACATGCAGAAGCTTGCAAAAGCTGGACATTGTAAGGTCCTTATGAAACTCATTTCAAAGGAGATGTTGGCAAACATGGCTCTGGGAAACCAATGCTATTTAAACAGTTGCTCAACTGATGAATGGAGTGGACCCAGAGACAGGGAAGCATGAAACAGTGCAGACTCTCAGAGGAAAGGTGGGGGACAGTGGGTGGGCGAGAGGTGATCAACCAAAGAACTTGTATGCATTATATGCATAACCCATGGGCACAGACAATAGGGTGGTGAAGGCCTGGGGCAGGGGGTAGGACCGGCTGGAGGGGGGTCAATGGGAGGAAAAGGGAGACATATGTAATACTTTCAACAATAAAGATTTTTTAAAAAAATAAACAGTTGCTTAAAAACCAACTTCACCATCGATGTGAGTACTCCACTCTGATTCTGGAGGAGATACTGTGGTAAAGGCTTTCAGGAATGGTACATGAAATCATTTCTAGAGGATCTCTCAAAACCTACCAAATAAGCCCCAGCCGGTTTGGCTCAGTGGATAGAGCATCGCCCTGAGGACTGAAGGGTCCCAGGTTTGATTCTGGTCAAGGGCACGTACCTAGGTTGCAGGCTCAATCCCCTGGCCCTGGTCAGGGTGTGTGTGGGAGGAAACCAATGGATGTGTCTCTCTTACATCAATGTTTCTGTCTCTTCCCCTTTCTTCCACTTTCTCTAAAAATCAATGGAAAAATATCCTCTGGTGAGAATTAACGAACAACAACAACAAAAACTACCAAATGAAGACTTTTACAAGAAGGCATTTTCTTATCAGGTCAGATGTTTATCATTGGTTTCAGTCTCTCCTGAAGTCTTTTTATTCAAAACCAATTTAATTGCAAAAGAGCAGCATACGATTTTTTCTGTGTGACCCTCAGAATCCTCAATTCTCAAAGAAAAACAACTATTAAAAAAATGTCTTCCAGAGCGATCATTTCCTATGGTATATAAATATCTAATCACTGTGCTGTACACCTGGAGCTAATATAGCATCGTATGCCAGCTGTAATTGAAAAATAAAAGTTTAAAAAATTCTTCCAGCTAATGGGAGAGCAGACAGGCAAGAAGGCATTTGTGCCCTTTATCTGAGGATTTCCTTTCGCATAAACTTGTATGGTGGATCTGGAGTGTGACTTCGTGGGTTCAAATTCTGGCACCACCCCAGTTTAGCTGTGCTACCTTGAGTAAGTCACATAACCTCTCTGAACCCCAGATTCCTCCTCTGTAATCGGGAAACAGATACTCGAAGCTCCAGTAAAATTCCAAAACACAGGGTTGTCACATGGTAAACGCACACCTTTTACATTTACGCTTGACGTCCTTGGAGGCCCAGAGGTACACTTCCTACCTGATGAACTAAGACTTCCCACCTTTCCCACGGGCTTGCCCTCCCCCGGCCTTGCTGCGAAGACCTTTCCTCTCAAAGTACCAGCCGGTAGGAGCGGGTGCCGCCAGCCCGAGGCCAGCGCTGGCTCCTGCGCCTCCGGCCTGCGGCTGCCCCTTTGAAAGAAGCGTCCCCACCTCCAGCGCACGCACCCAGACCTGGCCTTCGGGTGGCGGCCCGACCTCGCGGGCCCGGCGGGCGCAGCTGTGCGTGCGCTGCGGAGGGTGGTGGCGGCCAGCACCCCGCCCTCAGCCGCCACCCCCGTCGCCGCCCCAGCGTGTCAGGTGCCGTGAGAAGCGCCGAGGGATATGACTGGAGCCGGCTTTCCAGAAGCGACGCACGCAAGGCACAGCTCTGCACGCAAGGGGGAGGCGGCAGCGGAGGAACTTTTCAACCCGATCAAGTTCTCCGTCGCGGGGCCCTTTGCCTCCCCCTCCTCTTCCCCCTCCTCGCCCCCTTCCTTCCTCCGGGAACCTTCAGAGAGCCCCCTCCCCCTCCTCTCCAGCCCCCACGGTTTGCCCCAGCTTGGCTCTGGGCCCAGTGCCCCAGGACTGCAGACAAGGCCTGCGCGGCCCCGCGCCCTCCAGTGGGCGGCGCCACCGGAGGAGTTTCCCCGCGGGAAACCTCGGGGCCAGCGGCGCCCCGCCCCTGCTGCCAGGGACAGTCGGGGCCGGGGGCAGGGGGGCGGCGTCGCTCCGGGATTCTTGATATCGCTGCGCGCGGAGAACTTTGCGCGCACGCAAAAAGGCTTCCTTGGAGGGCCATCTGCTTACGCGAACGTTAAGATAAAATAACCAGGGAGGCTGTCGGGCAAACCGCACCACAAACCACACTTTCCTTTTTTCCAGACGGACAGGTTTCCCTCCCTGGCCGGGGCGCCCAAGTACCCCGAGCAGTGTTCTCTCGGGCCCGCAGCTGAAATCACTGCAAGGGAAGGGAGTTTCGGGGAGCGCTCAGCCTGTAGGGGCAGATTCTGGCCGCAGCGCGTCCCGCGGAAACCATGCGGCCACCGTCGGGGGTGACTGGGATGAAGAGCGGTTTTCGGGTGCGCGAAAGGCTCAGACAGCCGCTACTAGTCAAATCACCAGACCCTTCTCCAAGGCCGTCGGGGCGCGCCGGGGCCGCCTCGCGTGACCACCTGCGTGCGGCGACTCCAGCCGGAGTCCGAGCCTCGGGGACCGTCCCCGCGCGCCCCGCCCTCTGGCGCGCCCCGCCCCCGCCAGGTCCAGCTGCCTCCTCCCTCGACTCAGACCTTAAAAACGGATGGCGCGTTTGGACTCTGCAGAGTGGCTGTGGGCAAACGGGCCACGCCTCTGAGCCTCCAGCCGTCGGAGCCACCAGCTCGGGGGGTCGTGAGAGCTGGGCATTGCCTCCACTCAGACACCCCTAACCCCAATCCCCACGCTGTTAGGAAACCCCGGTTCTGCCGAGGCGGCACGTGCAGCGGGGCTCGGCCAAGGAGGCACTTTTCTCGGTCCCCATCCCCATCCCAGCGCCCCGAGTTCTGACAGCGCCTCCTGGCTCCAGAGTGAGCGCTAAGGCTCTCACAGCAGGTGTCCGGGGCGGGCGTCCCACTTTCTGCAGACGCTCGGGTTGTCGTCTTGCCCCCGCCCCTTCTCGGAGCCCGCTGTCGCTCGCCGCTGGAAACCGTGCCTCTTTGCAGGTCAGTGTGTCCGCGGAGCTGCCTTCCCGCGGCCTCTCCTGTTGGGTTCTCGCAGATGGGGGGTTGAGGGGGGCAGATCGGGGAGGCGCAGGGCTGGGGTGATAGTCACTTAGAGGGAGCTGAGCGCCCCCGCCTCGATGCCCGCCGTGTTGTCCCCGAATCGCAGGGACCGTTAGGCGGCCGCGGAGGGACAGGGAGGCTGAGTGGCGGAGCAGCAGAAACACGCCCCCTTCCTTTTCCTGCGGGGAGTGGGTTTGGGATGGGAAAGGGCGTCTTCAGCTGCTTCCCCAGTGAGGCAGCCCTTCCTAACCCACCCGCGGCCTCCCTCCCCGACAGCGTAGGGTTTAGCCCGAGGCCGCGGACAGGGGCACGGGGCGCCCGCCCCTCTCTGCTCACACCTGCACGTCACGCCTTTGCCCTTCTCTCTTCAGCATGGCCACCGGGCTCAGCCTCGACGACCCCCTGCTGCCCATCGCGCTGTCCGCACAGCAAGCCACGCTCCTGCTGCTCCTCTCGGTGCTGGCCGCCGTGCACGTGGGCCAGTGGCTGCTGCGGCAGCGGCGGCGCCAGCCAGGGTCCGCGCCCCCGGGGCCCTTTGCGTGGCCGCTGATCGGCAACGCCGCGGCGATAGGCCCCGCGCCGCACCTCTCGTTCGAGCGCCTGGCGCGGCGCTACGGCGACGTGTTCCAGATCCGCCTGGGCAGCTGCCCGGTGGTGGTGCTGAACGGCGAGCGCGCCATTCGCCAGGCCCTGGTGCAGCAGGCCACCGCCTTCGCCGACCGGCCGCCCTTCGCCTCCTTCCGCGTGGTGTCGGGCGGCCGCAGCCTGGCGTTCAGCCAGTACTCGGAGCGCTGGAAGGCGCAGCGGCGCGCGGCGCAGGGCACCATGCGCGCCTTCTCCCCGCGCCAGCCGCGCAGCCGCAGCGTCCTCGAGGGCCACGTGCTGGGCGAGGCGCGCGAGCTGGTGGAGCTGCTGGTGCGCGGCAGCGCGGGCGGCGCCTTCCTCGACCCGCGGCCGCTGACCTTGGTGGCCGTGGCCAACGTCATGAGCGCCGTGTGCTTCGGCTGTCGCTACGGCCACGAGGACGCCGAGTTCCGCGAGCTGCTCAGCCACAACGAGGAGTTCGGGCGCACGGTGGGCGCGGGCAGCCTGGTGGACGTGCTGCCCTGGCTGCTGCGCTTCCCGAACCCGGTGCGCACAACCTTCCGAGAGTTCCAGCAGCTCAACCGCAACTTCAGCAACTTCGTCCTCGACAAGTTCCTGCGGCACCGCGAAAGCTTCCGTCCCGGGGCCGCCCCCCGCGACCTGATGGACGCCTGCATCCTCTCGGTGGGAAAGGAGGCGGCCGAGGGCTCGGGCGACAGCGCCGCGCGGCTGGACGAAGACTACGTGCCGTCCACTGTCACCGACATCTTTGGCGCCAGCCAGGACACGCTCTCCACCGCGCTGCAGTGGCTGCTCATCCTTTTCACCAGGTAAAGCCTCCAGGAGGCGTGGGTCGGGCCTCCCTCTCCTCCTATAAAAGGTGCATGAGTGAGTGTGTGTGTGTGTGTGTGTGTGTGGCGGGGGAGGGTTGGGGGGGGGCAATGGGGAGATAAGAACACATATGAAATACTTTAATAAAATAAAATAAAATAATAAAACAAAACCAAAAAAAGGGTGCAGTGAGACCAGCATAGGCTGAGATCGCGACCAGCGCGCAAGGAGGGTTTGAGGTTTCGCTCCAGGCCACCACCTCTCAAATCTGATGTCACGCCCTCAAACCGCCAGGCAGGCAACAGGGGGGTAGAGACACGGGAGCGGGCACGCCCCACCCAGCGGGACCTCTCCGAATCTCTGATCTTGTCGCTGCGTCTCCAAGTAGGCACACATTTTGTGAGAAACCCCCTGGAAAAACAAGACTTTTTTAAGTGCCCGCAGATCAGTCCAGATCTCTTCTCCTGCCACAGGAGAAGCGCCATTGGGACGGTTCGGTTCGGAAAGAAGGGGTAACTCGGTCAGCACGTTAAACAAACACAGCAGCCTCATCCGCTCCGCCAGTCCGCGCAGATCCGAGGCCTCCCAGGCCGGGCGCTAAACGCCAGCCGCCAGTCCGGGCTTTGTTCCCCGGGAAAGGAACCCTCGGAGGCCGGTCTGGAGGCCCTGAGACTTGGCCCCGGGTTGGTTAGCCCACGTGGAAGTTTTAGGAGGGAGGTCAGGAACCAGCGGTTTGTGCTGGATTTTGTGAAACAGCCGCGCTGGGAGTAAGAGAAGTGTCTTCCGGGTAAAGAACTGGAGAAGCAGTCACTTTTACCCAGCGCAGAACAGCATCCAGAAAGGCAATCAGGGCACCCAGGAGGCCTCTGCGGACCTCCTGGCCCCTGGGCCCCTCTTGGTCGGTTAACTGGTCCCCAGAGACCACCTTGATTAAGGTCTCAGACAAGCTCCGTAAACGCAAGAATCAGACAAGTTCCAGGTATCACTTGGTGCCAGATTTAGCAAATAAAAAATAAATTTTACATAGGACATACTTATACTAAAAGATTAGCCATTGTTTATCTGCATTTCAGATTTAACTGGGTGGCCTGTAGCTTGTCTAGCAACTCGACCCCAAGGGGCAATCTGGCTCAAGGCGAGTCTTGATGGCCTGGAGAGACCAGAAATCTTGGTTGTGACATTTCTTGGTGGCTCAAGTTAGCTGTGGGGAATGCTGAATTTTCTGGTGCCTCAGATACTGAAAGGCAAAGACAGCTTTTTACTAGAATCCACTGCAATACTGCAACCCTTAGATACTGTGCGGCCACTTTCACAAATTGAATATTTTGTATATTTAAAATCGCTTCTCTGTATTATGATCACAGAAACTCATAGTGGGGGCAGGTAGGTCAGAAAGAAAACATCCCAAAAGGGGATCAATAGATCTTTAGCATTCTCAGATAAACATGCTATCTTTTGAAACAGACTTTCTTTTTCATTTAGAAACAGATTGGGCAGAGAAAGGAAATAAAACAATGTTGGGGTCACTTTCAATTCAATATAGCTGATAAGTACATTTTTCTTCTTTTGGGTGAAAAGACAATATGATGGGTTGACACATTACACTAGCCATTTCTGTATATAGGTTTTATCCAAAGGAAGAAAATACATTTACCTATTAGCTATGGCCGCTTTCATACTACAGCACGGGCAGAGTTGAATAACTGGGACACAGAGGGTTTGATCTGCAAAACCTAAGATATTTACCCTCTGGCCCGTTATGAAAAAGCTTGCAGACCCCTGAAGTAGAGTGCTAACAAAGCAATATTTTCAAATCACCCCGGATTTCATCACATACATGCTTATATATTTTTTTCAGGGCTGCAATAATTATTTACATTTTTTTTACTTCTTTTTATAATGGCTATTTCCCCATCTTTTAAACTTTATTTTGACAATTTTAAAAAATCATATTGATAGATTGCTAACATGTCCACTTTAGTAATTTTTGATGGTTACATAATATTTTGCCATAGTAATATAATCATTGTATATAACCATTGCTTGAGCTTTACAGTTGTCGTTTACATTTTAAAAATTTCAGCCATTGTTGTGGTTATATGTTTTTGTATTTGTTATTTCCTGAAAATACATTGCAAGGAGGATTACCGGTTTACAAAGAGTGGGGAGAGGTTACCCTTTTGGACCTTGCTTTGTAGTAAGATTTTGTTTTCCAAAAGGATTATGCTAGTTTATGTCACCAACAGTGAATACGTATTACAATTGGTACCATAATCTCATGAACATGGGGAATTTGCTTTCACATTTTAGAAGCCATGTTGCTTTACCTATCAGCATACCAATCACCTTTGTACAGATGAGAACAGTAGGGAAACGGCCGGGGGCTAGAGCGGGGGTGGGGGGGTGGGGGGGGAGAATGATCTTCTTTCAGGGCTACATTTTAACTTTTATGGGCCTTCGGTGCTTTTGTCTTTGTAGATACCTTACTCCATGAAAAATAAAATTATATTTTATGACTATATTGGTATAAAGATAAATATATTAAAATTATATGCTAAAACATTTTCTTTGACCGAAAAGTTCATTTTTTCCCCTCTTCTGATTTAAAAAAAAAAGAAGAAAGAAAACATTTCTTGGGCCTCTGAAAAGTATTGTGAGTCCTAAGCATTGTGCCTGCTTCCTCTATTGGAGAAGTTGGCCTTGTCCATTATCCTCCTTTCTCAGGCTGAGAAAACTTAGACATATTTTGACTTATGACAGGAAAGAGAACATTAGCCATGTGAGGCCTATTCCAGGAAATGTAACTACCAACTTATCCATCTTGCAATTTAGTGAGAAATTAAGAAATTGTTTTAGATTATTTTGGGGGGAGCCACGGAAAAGTTAAGTCAGTCCCTGACTCAGATAAAGAAAGTGGGATTAAAACAAATTGTAATGTGCTTTCTACGTGAAAGAAGAATGAGTTTTCCTCACTCGTTTTCTCCCTCTGCCTTAAAAACCAAACAGGTACCCTGACGTGCAGGCTCGGGTGCAGGCAGAACTGGATCAAGTCGTGGGTCGAGACCGTCTGCCCTGCCTGGATGACCAGCCCAAACTGCCCTACATCATGGCCTTTCTTTACGAAGCCATGCGCTTCTCCAGCTTAGTGCCCATCACCATTCCTCACGCCACCACCGCCAACGCCTCTGTCTTGGGCTACCACATTCCCAAGGACACGGTGGTGTTTGTTAACCAGTGGTCCGTGAATCATGACCCCGTGAAGTGGCCTAACCCAGAGGACTTCGATCCCACCCGGTTCTTGGACCAGGACGGCTTCATCAACAAGGACCTGGCCAGCAGCGTGATGATTTTTTCAATGGGCAAACGGCGCTGCATTGGGGAAGAGATTTCCAAGACACAGCTGTTTCTCTTCATTTCCATCCTGGCTCACCAGTGCAATTTCAAGGCCAATCCCGACGAGCCCGCAAAAATGGATTTTAATTACGGCCTGACCATTAAACCCAAGTCATTTAAAATCAACGTCACTCTCAGAGAGTCCATGGAGCTCCTCGACAGGGCTGTCCAAACGTTGCAAGCCGAGGAAGACTGCCAGTGAGAAGCCAGAAGCAAGCTGGAATTTTAGAAGGACTCAAGTTTTGGGGGATGGGGAGTAAAATTTTCCAGCTCCTCTGTGCCACTTTCTCAGTTCGCCTCTAAAGTGAGCCCAGATCCGCACTGGGCTGTGCAGGAGCTCTGGGAAGATTTCTTTTCAGTCCAAGAGTGAAGAGGCCCAAAGAAGTTTTATACATACATCGAATGCTGGTAATAACTTCTCCAGAGAGCATTCTTTGGAGATAAAACACATTTGGGCACACATGCAGAACTACCTGATGAAAAGGTACTTCCAATTCCATGCTTTCGTGGGTGGGATCGCAGGTGGATGTTGTGTGTGCTGAACAGCCGTAGAAAACCGTATTGAGCAAAGTTTTAGAATATATTGTTGAATATGCAAAGGCACATAATTTCAGTGTAAGACATGTGGTTGAGGGTGAGAGGGAAAAGATTCAGACCCGAAAGTTCCTTCTCACCTTGTCAATACAATAGCTTAGTTAGGCTCTGGTATCTGTGGACGGATTTATGTTTTGGCCTACTGATGTGCTTTCTCATATTTTTTTGAGTGATTCATAAAGTCATTTGCTGAAAAGGAAATTAATAGTAGTTGGTTTTATGATTATAATGGGTTTCAGTGATTTATCATTAATTATAAAATGTAAATTGTTAAATTGTAAAACATTCCAACCTGTGTTGATTGCCAAAGTACAGAATTTCAATTATAAGCAGCATCCGCCCGCCCCCCCCCCCGAAAAAAAGCAAGATTTACCAGTCCAGCTAAGCTTTAAATTATGTAATTGCAATGCACTGAGTTCAGTAATTAGCATAGCTTTAAAAAAATCACCCAATAGTACTCAGTATGTATACATATATAATTATTCATAGGCAATATGTATTAGTTATTTTATTATTAAATTCTTAGTATTAATTATTTTGGTCAGGAAAAGGTTGTATAATATATATCTTTTATATTGTCATAGAAAATTGAAAAGTATAACCAATTCAACTAATTCTGGCTCAAATACATGAAATGAGTTAGATTAATTTCCTATTTTTGACATGGAAACCAAGTTGAAGCAGTCTTGTCTTTCATCCAAAACACAAAAATCTAAAAATTGGGTCTGCAAGATGTCTTCCTTATTACTTTACAATATATTTATAAAAATTCTATTCATAATACAGAATCTCTTTTAAAAATTGATCAAGTTAATATGTTATAATTCCCAAACTCTTGGCATGCTTAAATTTTAATTTAATTTTAAAGACATTCTGATTATTGAGAACCAGTTGAAGTTACTGGAAATCTCACCATTAGCCATTGGAACGCAGAGAAATTTCATCTGTGTTTCCTGATGAACAGCGAACAATGCAACAAATTACCTGAATGTTATCTTTATTAAGAAAGAAGAGGGAAAATTTCCATTATAACAGACCTAGTTTTCCTTTTAAATTATTTAAAAAATAACATTACTATCAGTGTTTTGGAAAGTCAGAGTCAGAAGGTAGTCTCAGGAGGCTGTTTTGAGGACTGCATTGTGTGTCACTGAAGCTGATCGGATAAACTGTGTTGTCTAAGATGGCCAACCCAGTGAGCCGTCCCTTTGGTAACTGTGAAAACATAAAGCTTGAACAAAATGCACACATTTAGTTTGTACAAATAATCTAAAAACCTTTAAAAAAGTGATGGAAGATTGTAAGAGTACAAAATGAAGTTTGAAGATTTAACTTTCATCAAAATTATAAAGGAAGGAGTGTATCATGGTTGTGTGTGTAGGGGTGGAAAGAGAAAAGAGTAAAAAATTGAAAAGGAAGAAAGATGGTTAAACCACTCATTCCAAATTAATTAATTTGAAATAATGAATATTTAGAAAAAAGATGTTTTTCATGTACCTATATTAAATCTCAAGTAGACTTAAAAATCCACAACATATTAGATCTATTTTATAACTCAAAATTCTTTTTAATCCTCACCTGAGGATATGTTTTTATTGATTTTTCTTTAGTGAGAGGGAAGGGGAAGAGAGAGAGAGAGAGAGAGAGAGAGAGAGAGAGAGAGAGAGAGAGAGAGAGAGAGAGAGAAACATCAGTATGAGAGAGAAACATCGATCGGTTGCCTCCCATATGCACCCTGACCAGACTGAACCCACAACCTAGTTACGTGTCCCGACCGGGAATCAAACTCACAACCTTTTGGTGTACAGGACGATGCTCCAACCAACTGAGCCACCAGCCAGAGCTGTAATTTGAAATTTTTTATTAGTCAAAACGTCACATAATTTTAATTATAAAATCTCATAGTCGTTCATCTTGAATATGAAAAACTGTTTGTGCCAGTATTTTTAAAGGCTCTAAAGTCAGCTATAGAAATGAGGCTTACCAATTAACATTTTTTGGTACTGGCAATTCCAAAATATGATTACCTTCTCCCCTCCCCCCTCCTCCCTCCCCCCTCCCTCTAGCAGGGCTGAGAAATTGACTTTGGGCTGCCTTATCCTACTTATGCTGGGAGGTGTGTGGCAGCACAGTAATCACATACTAATCTGGATGCCTCGTTAAGTAAACCAGACCCAGATGTGCCTTAATCTGTTTTTATGCAGTTTTTATGTACGTGGGCTCAGTTAATGTGGTGCTTTCAGCAGGGGGAAAGCTGTGCTTATATAGAAGAAAGTAAGGTGGATGCTTAGAGGTTAGCTGGTTTATTTAATATGTTTCTACCCTAGTTAAAGGAAGGAAAGCAAACCCTAAACCAAATAAAAATAATCAAATTTGGGGGCTATAGTAATCATGTTACTGGCTAATCAGAAAACCTCATTTTATTTCTGCCAGAGGAAAAAAGGCACTTGCTGGTCACCATTATAGTCAGAACGTCTACTCCAGGTAATTGCAGTAAAGTATAGTTAATATATAAATGCTGCATTTATATATTAAAGCTTTGACTTTGTAAGAAAATTGCTTGTTTTCCAAAACAAAAAGAAGGTGTCTCAGGTTTGTTTTGTGGGTTATCTAAAAGCCTTCATGTCTCAGAACTTAGCCTTTACCTGTGAAATACTTTTATAGCCTTAATATTTTCATATTACATCTATATTAGATCAGATATTTGCATAGCATTATATATTCATTTGTGTGTTTTTAGGTATGAAACAAATGTGTAATAAAAAGCTATACTTCATTAGATGTTTATAACTCAAGGATAACTTCTTATTTAACCTTTCATTATTTTTGTATTTTATCATGTATGCTTTTTATCTGTACATAGTGACTATAATGGATCGTTGTACCTAAAATAGGTTTTGGGGACACAGCATCAATATGTAGCTTTTACTGTTCAATATACCAAGTTAAAAATTCTGTATCTGTAATTACCTATAGTAGGACAACATTACAGAAATAATAAAAAGCACTTTCATAATCTTGTTATGACGTTTTACTTTATGTTGTAGCAAATATAGCCTAATGCATCTATTCATTTCAACTACTATTTTTTTAAAATATATTTTTATTAATTTCAGAGAGAAAGGGAGAGGGAGATAGAAACATCAATGATGAGAGAGAATCATCAATTGGCTGCCTCCTGCATAGCCCACATTGGGGATCCAGAATCGAACCGTGACCTCCAGGTTCATAGGTCGATGCTCAACCACTGAGCCATGCTGGTCAGGCCTTCCTATCAACTACTATTTTTAAGTGCTTGACTTAAAATGTTGCATTGTAAGCATTTTATTTGGTCATTCTACATTTTAGGTTGCTTCCTTCCTTTCCTTTTTTTTTTCTTTTTAAAATAGGCTTGCAGCATTCAGTTTCCTACCAAATTCCTGACTTCGATATTTTTGAATTTGTAAGAACCAACACAGACGTTCAGTTTGAATGGCAAACAACAATACCAAAGTCAAAATTAATGGGAATTCATTTTAATTTTGAAAGATTGAATAGAGTGGGACTGTAAGACTCTGGCCTTATATTTCTGCTTCATCTAAAAAATGCAGGGCACATATTTTCTTTGCAACAGCACATCAATCTTTTCCTTGAGTATTTCATTCATTTCTTGTTGTTGTTTTTTAACATGTTTTATTTGGTTGATACACATTCATTCATTCATTTTTAAAATACATATATATTAATAAGTGCAATTAATGTCCAATAAAATAGAATGGATGAGCATACTCTGTAATACACTATATGGGAATATTTTTCTGATGCCTTATTTACCTGGGGAAAGACTTGGCTTCACAGGGTCCCTCTGTGGTCTCCAGGCCTTCACTGCCCCACCCTCCCCAATGGCAGCACTGTGCAGTGCCAAGGGCTCTGATTTCTTCCAGACTTTAGCTCCCATTACTGTGAAAACAAGAAGAGAAATTGTGAAGTAAAATTGCACACCATGTTATTGATACACTGGCTTGAGAACATGACTTTCGCAGCCAAGGGTATGGCTATGAATTGGTTTAACAGAATATTCACTTATTTTCCAGATGTACTAACACAGGATCTTGGAAATGGTCATAAAGTTTCAGGACAATTGAAGTAAATATTTTCAAAGGAAAACATTTCCTTAACAAAATCATAATTGGGGTCAGGTGTTGACAAAAATGTCAAGCAGAGTTGGGTTCTACTCAATCAATGTGCTAGAATAGCAGACTGGAGCTCAGGGTAGGGAATGAATGCAGCTTGGGACATAAGACAGCCGTGGCTGTCGCAAACTCATCAAGGTCATTTCTATAACCTCGAAGCCGGTCCATCGGTCTGCACAAGGGCTACAGAAGTTCTGGCTGCTAACTCTCCCTTACTTTGGTTCAATGACTCACATACTCTCTGCTCTCCTGTTCTGACCTATGAGTTATAATCCTTAGAGGGGGGAAAAAGGAAATTGATACATTCAAATACATTCGGAAGCAGTTATTTTGAAGGCAGAAGACTGGAGAAAAATAATCTAGTTTCAATAGGGATGGGCAAGCTATAGGCAAACAACAGCCTATGTGTGTGGCTCCTTTATTCACTCACCCGTGTAGGCTTCATGAACACTCTTCAGTATGTGTCAGGTATGAGGGGAAGAAATGGAACTAAAGTATATTGAGCACTGACTATGTACGAATCACCATGCTGATCACTGGAATGCATACCACACAATCCTGTGAGGAGGCAGGAATGGATCATGCCAAAAGTATACATTTAGAAGTGGCAATGTTGGGATTTTCCCTAGAGATGCACTGACTCCAACGCTGCTGTCTTCCTGCTATATAGCTGCTCACTCCCCAGTCTGCCCATGTTGAGTACATAGTCTAGTTGGTCTCTATTTTAATCCCTATGATCCTTGGAGTTTCACAAGCGATGTGCCTCCTTGGTGTAGGGCGCATTCCACACCACAGTCAGGGAGTAAGTGACATTGTGAAGTGCCAGAAAGATTCACAACGCTCATCTCTTCTGAGAAAAGCATCATCAAGTTGTTCCTTATGCAAAAAGAAAAGAAAAAAAAGGGTCATGCTTTATCTTAGAATCCCCAAACCTCTGTCCTATAATCCATCTGGGCCAGGGAGCCTTGCTCGAGCCAAAGACCTTCCATAGGTTGGATCAGTTGCCTGTGAAGTGGCCTGATACAAGAACCCTCTCTGATAGGACTGCACCATGCTGGGTACTGTCTCATGTGACCAATCAGAGCCTCGTGCTCGCAGAGGCCTTGAGTAGGGGAAAGGCTGAGAGCACTGGCCAGAGAGAAAGAGACAGGACCAAGGCATGAATGAAAGAAGCGAGTTGACGGGAAGCCTGCCTCTGAAAAAGTGTAACTGGAGCCCCTGGAACTGATGTTGGACCACTTGCAATCCGTGATCAACTGGCCAAATAAACTAAATATTATACTAAATACACACACAGTGTTACAAATGACACAGTATTACAGCACAAACCCAGCAGCCACTGAGATCCCTGCAGGTCAGGGCTAAGATTCTCTCCGCAACCCAGAAAAACCTTCCAGCCTCTTTTTACAATTTTTAATTCTGTTTTTTTTTTTTAGTTATTTCTAAAAATTAAAACAAATTCTATTTTGTTTCACTCCTTCTCCCTCCCAATAGTTTCTGTTTCTCCCAATAAGTGCTCAATGTGCACTTATTATTTGTATGTGTTCCAGCAAAATTTGTATTATTGTATACATGTGTTTTTAATTTGTACAAATGCTGTACATAGCTCATCCTGACGTTTCATCTTCTCTTCACACAATATTTGAAAGTCCCATTGCTTTAAATCTCTTGGCTTCTAATTGCTGCCTCCTGCCCCATGGTATTCATCTATCACTTTTCCTCCATCCACTCTGTTGGGAATGGGCACCCAGATGACCTCCAATTTTATGCATCCCCAACTAATGCTGCCAGGAGCATTCTTGTACGTGTTGTTTATAATCACCCAAAACTGGAAACAACCTAAGTGTCCTTCAACAAGAGGTTGTCTAAACAACCATGATACATCCATACAAAGAAATGACACTCAGCAATAAAAAAGTAAACTATTGATCCATGCAACAACTTGGATGAGTCTCATGGGAATAATGTTGAGTAAAAGAAGCCAGCCTCAATCAGTTATATATACATGAATCCAGTGATATGGTAGTCTCTAAAAAATAAAACTAAAGTGATAGAGAGCAGATTGCTGGTTGCCAAGGGTTAGGGGTGGAGGGAGAGTATGACTACAAAGCGTGATGAAGTTTTGGGGGTTTTCTGGTTATAATTAGCTAGTTATTAATAACTAGAGGCCTGGTGCACGAATTCGTGCACTGGTGGGGTTCCCTTGGCCTGGCCTTCACCCTCTCACAATCCGGGAACCCTTGGGGGATGTCAGAAAGCCAGTTTTAGCCCAATACCTGCAGGCCAAGCTGAGGGATCCCACCAGTGCATGGGGACCTCTAGTATGCATATAAGATCTTTGGTTAATCTCTTTCCATCCTCCACCCGCCTCCCTTCCCTCTAAGATTCATCAGTCTATTCCATGTTTCCATGCCTGTGGTTTCTGCTCCTTTATTGAGTGTCTTCCCCCTGGTGGTCAGTGCACATCATAGCTACTAGCCAATCGGCTGGTTGCTTAGGCTTTTATAT